TCCAGACTGGCCCACCACCACAAACACATAATACACATCTCAACTTTGTTCATAGAATCATAAGCCGGCGATGCACAACTGATACCAAGCGCTCATGTGCGCATACGAATGTGTGGAAGGAATTCAAGGAGTTATGTTTCAAGCTAAATCAATTCCGCACGATAGAATACAAAAAAGTGAAATTTTCCTAAGGGTTCGGCAGCCTCTTGAAGAAAAGTACAGACATCTCCGTACGAATCCGCAAGACTCTACTAAAGATGCTCATTGACTCGTGAGACCTATGTTACCTAGAGCTCTGATACCAACTTGTCACAATCCAAAATCTCACATGTCGTGATGGCGCCTATCTCAATACTAGGCAAGCCAAAAATCCCAATAAACCACCATTTCTTTTAAATTTGAAAACGAAATAATTAATTCAGCTGAAGAAATCTCAAATTTTCAAATATATCACTCCCAAAATCCGGTGTCACTGAGTACATGAGCATCTAATATGAATACAATGTCTGACTAATAAAAATCTATTGTCTGAAAGTATAGAACAATACAATAACTGAAGAAAAGATAGACAAGGTAAGCGGACGCCAAACAACTACCTTGATAGTCTCCAACTGATAGTACTTTGAAATCTAACAATCTCTGTGTTCGAAAGCACCTAGATCTGCACACGAGGTGCAGAGTGTAGTATGAGTACAACTAACTCAATAAGTAACAAGACTAACCTCTGGGCTGAAAGAAATTATGAGCTCCGCAGGTACAGTCCAATAAAAATATAATGGTACAGAAATGTAAGCATGCTTTTAAGTTCAACAGTTAAACTCAATACAAGTGAAATAGATCAATACTGTATGATATGAGGCATATGGCATCTCAGTAAAAAGACCTCATGTAAATACTGGTCACAAATTATCCGGTCACTCGGTACTGTTTATGGCCAATCCAGCCTAGGGGAGTTCCAACCCGTATATAAATACACATCGACTGACAATCAGTCACCTAGTACCGTATAAGGCCAATCCAGCCCTAGGATAATTTATCCCCAAATATAAATAATACGATCAAGATCTATGTCCAGGTAAACTCATTACAATACAAATAAGTAAGGCAAGTCCATGCCCTGGGAAATTCCATCCCATATATATATAAGCAAAAAGTAAGGCAAGTCCATGCCCTGGGAAGTCTATCCCGAATATCGATGATCATCTACGCTCACTAGGGGTGTGTACAGACTCCGAAAGGGCTCCTTCAGCCCAAGCGTAATACAAAGCCAATATGGCCTACTGTAGGCGGGTAGTCTCGATCTGTATAATAACAAAGCCTATAAGGCCTGTTGCAGGCGGGCAACCTCGATCCATAAAATAGTAAAGCCAATAAGGCCTGCTGCAGGCGGGCATCCCCGATCCAGAAAATAGTAAATCCAATAAGGCCTGCTGCAGGCGGGCAGCCCCGATCCATTTAATAATAATATATATAAAGCCAAATGGCCTGCTGCGTTGCGCAGCTCAATCCCATAAATATCCTCACAATGGATAATTATTACCGAGTGTGAAATATATTTTTGAACAATTAATTCAACAATAACACGACCCCATGTGTCCCAAAATATTGGCACTTAGCCTAAACATGATCTTTAATATGAGCCTCAACTCAATTTCTCTAACACATGGAGAATGTTCGGATAATAACATGATTCAACTGCACAGGATTTATTCAAGACACAATTTATATGGTGCACGTCCACATGCTCGTCACTTATCGTGTATGTCACCTCCAAACAATTTATATCATACCATATTCGGGGATTCATACCCTCAGAACCAAGTTTAGAAGTGTTACTTACCTCAACCCGTGTAATTTTTTATTCTGCTATGCCCTTACCACGAGAATTGGTCTCCGAAAGCCTCGTATCTAGGCACAATTAATTCGATTCAATCAATACCAATTCTTGTAATTAATCCCATAAGGAAATACTAATTTTTTCAATAAAATCGGAAATTAACTAAAAAATCGCCTGTGGGTCCTACGTCTCGGAACCCGATAAAAGTTACAAAATATGAACGCCCATCCAACCACGAGTCCAACCATACAAATTTCACCAAAGATTTTAAGGTGCGTTAGGGCACCTATTTATAAATAACTCTATAAGAAAAACAAGACCATAATGTCTGAACAAGATTAGGTTGCATTTGACTAGAAGATAGAGTTGAATTACTCTGATAGAGAGGAGATTAATTGCATGAATAAGAGAAGTATCCTATTTTTTAAATAGAATATTCATGCAAATTTGGCAAAAAGTTGGAAGAAGAAAAGTTAAGAAGGCTTTATAAGGCTATCGTATTTCATAAGTTGGGATATAAAAAGAAATGATATTAATTAGACGATAGCCCTAAGCATGATCTGAACTGAGTTGAATAGGGGTAGCGGTAATTGAAAGGTAAAACATCTTATTTTAAAGAGGTTATACTCACATGAGAAAGTTGAGATTAAACATCGCTTGAGAAGAAATTACGCCACTAACTATGCGTGATGATAATGATAGATCAGTCATGTTATGCAATCAATGGATGAAATACTCCCTTTGGGCAAAGTGAAAGGTTATGCCCCTAGACAGGAAGATAGTTTGTTCAGACCCAAGATTCGCATGATTTGAGCCTAAGAATAGAAGTCTAAGAAATGTCCCATAATTCATCGTGTTAAGCGTGGAGTGATTTTGAGAGAATATAGACATGTAACAAAGAAAACAATACACATATAAATGTGCAAATAAGTAGTAATGGGGATGGCACGAGAGACAGAAGCTTTGAATGAGTTAGTCTTACCCCTCCTAAATGTGATTAATCGAGAGACAATAGTCGGCATATTGGCACGTCCATTCCTAAAACAATGCAACTAAATTATGATGACGTCCTTCTAGGGTCGTAGACCCCTTTGGACTCGGGTATAACCATACTATCAGACTTAATATACTAAGGATATTATGTTGACCTAGGTTAATAGAAAAATGATTTCTATATATATATATATATATATATATATATATATATATATATATATATATATATAAAATCATATCAGGTTGGGCTCTATGGAACAAGAGTATGTTGTCTAGACCAAAGATTCCCCCAAGTGGACAACTTAGGAGTGGAAAGCCTGTGACCGTCGGCGCACCGCTGACCGACCTACCCACATAACTTTCCCTTAAAAAGGAACTTTGAGAGTGCACGGTCGTGAAAACATGCAACCGCTACAAGTGTGCTAGTGTAAAAGATTTCCAAGTGGAGGAAATATGAACGGGATGACAATTATCAAAGCGGTAACATATAGCAAATATAGTTGAAAATAGTAGAGATGGAGTCAATTTGAAATAAAACGATAAAAGAATGTGTAAATTAAAGAAAACGATAAATGTAAAATTAATGCGATCAATAAATTTAAACAAATAAACAAGAGAGATGGTTAAAAATGTTAACTAATAACATTAAAGAAAATAAGTAGATACGCAATCTAATAAATAACGGAAAGGGAGTAGGATATGCATTAAAAGCAAAACAAAGCATTTTAAATATATATAAAAAAAATAAATAAGGGAAGGAGGGAAAGGATGTACATGAAAAATAAAGCATGCTTCAAAGTAAACAAATAATGAAAGGGGAAGAGGGTATGCATATAATGTAGACAACTAAAGAAAAGAGGATGTGCATGAAAAGAAAATAATAATTAGTAATTGAAAAAATAATTAAGGGAAAGAGGAAGAGGATATACTTGAAGAATAAATTAAAATATAATCACCCAGTAAACAAAGATATATACGAAAGTAAGTAGAAATAAAAATATTATTTGAATAAAACAAATAATGAAAAAAAATAACTAAATTTACTTAAAGATATTTATGGAAAATAAACAACCAAGGGAATAAAAAGGGGATATACAAAGAAAGCCACAAATAAAACAGTAAAATTATAAGACGCATATAAAGGTAAACAAATAAAATACGAAGGTAAATTAAACGAAAGGAAATAAAAATTTCATCTAAAAAGAAACAAAGTCACACCAAAAATCCCACATAGAAATAAAATCCGTTATGGTAAGAACCTAAGTATCCCCAGCATAGTCGCCATGTTGTTGTGCCCCATTTTCTCGCGAAAGCGGGTTTCGACATGTGACAACTCTTTTAAATGGGTATTAAAAGAGAAAAGTCGCCACCTAACGATTTTAAGGTGCGTTAGGGCATCTATTTGTAAATAACTCTGTTTTAACTAGTCCGTGTCACCAAAGATTGGGTAAGGGTTCAAATTACCTCAAAGAAAAGGTGTTAGGCACTATTCGAGATCCACAAATGTGGTTTCCGGCCGAATTTTAAACTATGTTGGATTATTGTGTTAAATTTTTAGGGATTCATGTCCTTCCCTAATCTAGAACTACACACAATCTTATTCTCGTTAAACCCGAGATATGTAGGTAACTCAAAAATCGGAGTTCAGCCACAATATTTTTCAAAACTCTTATTCCCTTTCGTTCTTACAAAACTATGTCATCAGTCGGACAAAATTGGCTACTACGTTAATTTCTTTGCCCGACAACTCTTTTATCATTTTCGGTCAAAGAGGGGCAACTGTTGACGCCCAATTTTGTCCATCCTTACTCCATATTATTCTAATGAGCTACTATTCTATTTAAGAGTTATAATAATATTGTAGCATTTTTATGTATTATTACAAGTGCTACAATTTTATTATTATAAATATTTTTACTAAATATTAGCAACTTTCAAAAATATAAATATTTACAATTTATTTTTAGCTTGTTCAACTATTTATATAATATAATATTTATTTTTCAACCTCTTGTATCTCATTTTTTATTTATTAATTATCATTACTTTGACATTTTAATTTAATAGTAGCTCAATTATCAATTTCACACCTAATCCAAAAATCAATTAAGCCCAAAACCCATTCTACCATCAAATCCCAACCCAATTAGAACCCCAGACCCAATCAAATTCACCTTGCCAACAAACATCCAAAGCGCCAAACCCCAATTCCCCTAATAACCTTTAGCCTTCAAACAATTAACTTTTTCTTTTCCTAAAAAAAATCCCAAAATGCAACCATCGTCTTCCCCTACGATTTCGCCAGCAACTCGCCAACACCTTTCCCCAATTCTTTGATTTGTTTCCTTTTTTTAAAATATTCTTTTTAACTTTCTTTCCTCAATTCTTTTCCTCTTCAAATCTGTAAAGAAATTGCGATTGAGAGCCGAGATTTTAGTTTCAGTTTTGGTCTAAATCCCTGTCGTGAGTGAAGGTTTGCATGCTTTTCTTTCCATATCGGCATCCGTAGGTTCAAATTAGTTAGATGAATATGGACAGGTTTTGAGGTAAGCACTTCGCCTATTCTTCATTTTTTCTTATCGATTGGATTGAGTTTTGAAAATTGAATTATCAATATTCTCTTCTGATTTTTTCGATAATGTAAAGCGAAGTTTTCCCATAATCATAATCTTTTTCTGCCAAAATTAATCACCAACGGTTCATTTTTTAGTTCGAATACTCCAATTTCGCTTCAGTCCCCGAATCCTTGCTTAAAGGAAATTTTGATATGTTAAAAAAAATCTGAATCTTTCTTTATTTGATATCTAGTTTTATGATTCTTTTCCATTATAGTGACACGCCCTAAGGCTAATTCGCTACTATAAATACTGACTAGTTCTATGCACTTAAGGAGGATGGTTTTCACTACTACTGTCAGGATCGGGAACCCGGGCAGTGCGAAATTTAGCCGAACAACGGTATAATGACAATAACAAAGACAATGGAAGACGACAATTAAAGTAGATAAAGAAGACAAAAATTTATCGTGGTTCGGTCAAAGTGACCTACGTCCACAAGCGGAGAGGAGCAATTTACTATAACAATAAGAGTACAAAAGAGAGTACAAAATTAGAGTAAACACTCTAATTAATCCCAAATACCTTAAGAGAATAATCTCACAAGATCACTCCAAAGAAAGGGTTCACACAAGTACTTTCCAACACTAACTCTCATACAAAACACTCTTAATAAAGGAAGAAAGGAAGAAACAAGAATTGAAGACAAGTCTTGTTGGTGTGTCTAAAATGAACTAATGGCCTTCCCTTTTATAGGCAAAAAAGTCTTGACCTCTTAGGTGTAAAAGAAGAGATACAACTTGTGCAAATGATGTCCAACACACAATGCAATATTTTTGGGTCCCAAAGAATATTGCCAACAAAGTCTACACTTTGCAAAGATGCTTAT